ATCGGAGGCGGATGTGAAGAGCAGAACTCAAGATGCAAAAAATAAGAAAAATAGATGGATCCGCCCCTCCCTGGTAGCCAAGACCACCCCAGACAAAACCCACCCAACCTTTTGTCCTTCTCAAGGATTCCCAAATATAAATTCCCCTGCAGTCTTCCAACGCCAGATTTTGACTATGACGCCTCACATGGCGGCAAACGGTTTGCCGTGGGGCAGCGTGATATTCAAGGAAGGAAGGAGTGTGTGCATGTGTTTATTCTGGGTGAGTCAGGATGGCTTTACTCATAATCTGGATTTTTAGCACTCTGCAGGGTTTCAGATGTAAGAATCTGACATCTGACGATTATTATCAAGTCAGCTCTAATTAACCCGTCCAGAATTTAGCAACAGGGAAAATACAGATGGAAGCTAATGCTGATTTCAGCATGCATTTCAGCTTTAGGAGGTAAGGAGAGCCTGGTGGATCAGGCCCAAGGAGGTCCATCTCGCCAGGAATCCTGTTTTCGCAGCAGCCAACTAGAAGCCTGTGGGATATTTGCAACGCAGCCGAACCAACAATGCATGTTTGCTGCAAAGGCACACGATAGGAGCTGAAGCTCGCAAAGTTTTTCTGCAAGTTTGCTAGCAAGTGTGACGCGGCAGCTAAAAAAGCCAATGCAATTCTGGGCTGCATCACCGGGTTTGCTTCCCCGCTCCTCCACCTGCAGCTGCTGGGTGACCTTGGGCCAGTCACACTTCTCTGAAGTCTGGTTGCATCAATAGGAGTATAGCATCTAGATCGAGGGAAGTAATAGTGCCACTGTATTCTGCTCTGGCCAGACCTCACCTGGAGTACTGTGTCCAGTTCTGGGCACCACAGTTCAAGAAGGACACTGACAAACTGGAACGTGTCCAGAGGAGGGCAACCAAAATGGTCAAAGGCCTGGAAACGATGCCTTATGAGGAACGGCTAAGGGAGCTGGGCATGTTTAGCCTGGAGAAGAGGAGGTTAAGGGGTGATATGATAGCCATGTTCAAATATACAAAAGGATGTCATATAGAGGAGGGAGAAAGGCTGTTTTCTGCTGCTCCAGAGAAGCGGACACGGAGCAATGGATCCAAACTACAAGAAAGAAGATTCCACCTAAACATTAGGAAGAACTTCCTGACAGTAAGAGCTGTTTGACAGTGGAATTTGCTGCCAAGGAGTGTGGTGGAGTCTCCTTCTTTGGAGGTCTTTAAGCAGAGGCTTGACAACCATATGTCAGGAGTGCTCTGATGGTGTTTCCTGCTTGGCAGGGGGTTGGACTCGATGGCCCTTGGGGTCTCTTCCAACTCTATGATTCTATGATTCTATTCTATGATTCTAAGAACTTTGAGGGACACGCCCCATGTGTCCTGACAGGGGTCGGCTTGACTCATCACCAAACCAGAAATGTGAGAACTGTCTCCATATGGGCATGTGTTCCATTGCTCAGACACCACCCTAAGCCAGACTTAAGAGGGAACGGTCTCCCTGGGGAGGCTGTGGGCTCACCCTTGGGGGCTTTTAAGCAGTGTTTGGACGGCCATCTGTCATGGATGCTTAAGCTGAGATTCCTGCATTGCAGGGGGCTGGACTAGAGCAGGGGTAGGCAACCTAAGGCCCGGGAGCTGGATGCGGCCCAATCGCCTTCTCAATCTGGACCGCGGACGGTCCAGGAATCAGCGTGTTTTGACCTGAGTAGAATGTGTCCTTTTATTTAAAATGGATCTCTGGGTTATTTGTGGGGCATATTTTTTTTTCAAAAACCACATGGTCTGAGGGACGGTGGACTGGCCCACGGCTGAAAAAGGTTGCTGACCCCTGGACTAGAGGGTCCTTGGGGGGGGGGGTGTTTCCCTTCCAACTCTACAATTCCATGATTCTGTGTCTTTGCAACCGAATTACTGTTTTAAGCCTGCCTGAACAAAGCTGCTGTGATTTGTTATTCTGCAACAGAACCTCACCTTTTACAAGACTCTTTGTGTGATTATTTTAAAGGGAGGGGGGGAGAGAAGGGGAGAAATACCAGGAAAATCTATAGTCTGCCTTAAAGCACCCCAGATTACTTAAACTAAAAGGCTAAAAGCAGAATATCTAAGCTTCCCTTTTAAGCTGCAAAGGGATGCACTCTGCTGAACTCACAAACTCCCTCTCCCAATTCTATTTTATAAAGTTTCAATATTTTATTAAGTTCCAACAGTTTTGTCTCTTATTTCTGTCGACTTCCTACCCAAGTTGGGTGGCCTGCGGGATGGAGTTCCATAGTTTCCCAACAGCCAGTATGCAAAAATTGCAGGGGGGTTGGACTAGATGAATCTCGGGGTCCCTTTCCAACTCTACAGTCTATGAAAAACATTGCTGCCTCGGCGGCTAGTAGCCTGGGATAGGCCTCTCTACGAATTTGTCTAATTCTCTTTTAAAGCTATCTTGGGTTTTGCATAATTCCAGAAACATTTTGTTTTGCTGTTTTAATGGAAGCAGAGCGCCTTAATCTTTGCAGGGCTGGGGTCCTCAGAAGGTCTGGATGGAGCCCATGCACTGGCTTCCAAACCTCCCTTTCCAATTTATTTATTTTTAACCAGGAAATTAAAAGGAGAACGGAACCAGTGTCCTTCGGGCGACCTTGGAGGGGTTGGCGCTTCTGCGGCACGGCAGACCGTTATCGCTCGTGCATCAGCCTCTGCTCTGGTTATCTCGGTCCCCGCAGAGGTGGGGAGCGATGCTAAGGCATGCCATATCTGCTGAGAGGATGCAGGAACATCGGGGCAGGAAGGGAGAGATAACAGAAGACGCTCAGGCTGGATGATGGCCAGGAAAAGAAGATCGATGCCAGAGACAAATGGGAAAAACAATGGATGGTCACCTGCTGGGGGTTCTTTAGCTGTGATTCCTGCATTGCAGGGGGTTGGACTAGATGGCCATTGGGGGTCCCTTGCAACTCCTCAATTCCATGATTCTATGTGCTCAATGCCGCCCCAGGCAGCCTATCCCTGTTCAGTTCCCTTGGCTCCCTCCTCCTGGTGGAATTAGGACAACTGGGTTGTCTTCAGGGCTAGCCCTATTTTGTTGTTGTTGTTGGCATCTGTCAGTCTCGAGAGGCAACGGAGTGCACCTCTGGTAAAGGTAAAGGGACCATTAGGTCCAGTCGTGGCCGACTCTGGGGTTGTGGTGCTCATCTCGCTTTATTGGCCGAGGGAGCCGGTGTACAGCTTCCGGGTCATGTGGCCAGCATGACTAAGCCGCTTCTGGCGAACCAGAGCAGCGCACAGAAATGCCGTTTACCTTCCCGCCGGAGTGGTACCTATTTATCTACTTGCACTTTTGACGTGCTTTCGAACTGCTAGGTTGGCAGGACCTGGGACCGAGCAACGGGAGCTCACCCCGTCGCGGGGATTCGAACTGCCGACCTTCTGATTGGCAAGTCTTAGGCTCTGTGGTTTAACCCACAGCGCCACCCTACACCTCTGGAGGTGAAGGCAAATTGCTGTGTTAGCAGCACCAAAGCGACCTCTCCGGGGAGGAAGCCTGGGCTGTGTGCACGGAGGTCCTGGGCTACCCAGACGACAAGACCTGCCTCTTGGGTTCACTGATGCGGTCCGACGGAAAGCAGAGCAAGACGTTTGGCACCAGCTTGGCTGCAGCTGTTGCTGGAAGGAGGTGTACAAGGCGCCATGCAACCGCTTTAGGGACTCTGCTTCATTTTTGCAGAGAGTCTACTCCTGAGCCTTTTCTTTTCTCAAAGATATCCCGGCCGCAAGACAGTGGAGGTTTAGGGTCAGCGTTTTCCTTTTCCTAGACTGGCTCCCTTCCCAGGAGGGCGAGCCCCACCTGCCCCCTCTACAAGAAGGGCAGAAACTGCCTTCTTGACCGCTGGAACCCACTCTTGATCTCGTCCACTCAGTCGGTGGGAGCCTGTCTTCGCATGCAGGGAAAGCAGCGGTTTTAACCCAGCCCTCCGCTGCTTTCGATGAAACCTAGGAATGGGTGAATATGGCTTTCTGAAGTGTTCTTGGCGCACCTGGGAGTTAGGGGGCTTCCTTCAGATAGGGAGACCCAGCTCCCCCAAACTACTAGGAGTGTGATACATTTGGCTTCTAAAGGGTTAACCGCCCCCTTTCCAAGGCTTGCTGTTTTCCTGCTTTCTGTAAATGATGCAATTACCGCTCCAGACCCCACCTAATTAGGAGGCCTTGTTTTCCCCCCAGGAAAGGCTCAGCAGAGCTAATGATAATTAGAAAGCGGCGTCTGGGGGGTGTCTCTGGGTGGGATCCTCTGACTAAGCCTATTGCTGCAGGGCTGAGGACCCCAGTTCATCCGTGGCGGGAGAGAGAGGCGTTGGTCAAGGTGAGCTTTTGTGCTTTTGTGTGCCCCACATCCATTTGCAGGCTGGAGAGCCTTTCAAAAGAACACAAGAGTCATTTTGGACTCATTGCTGTCCATGGAGGCGCAGGTCAATTCTGCGTCCAGGGCTGCAGGTCTACCAGCTGCATCTGAGACCCTACCTGCCTACATGCCCTGGCTATCTCCCACTTGGACTACTGCCATGAGCTCTCCGTGGGGCTGCCTTTGAAGGTGACTCAGAAACAACAACTAATCCAGAACGCGGCGGCTAGACGGGTGACTGGGAGTGGCCGCCGGGACCATATAATACTGGTCCTGAAAGACCTACGTTGGCCCCCAGTAAGTTTCTGAGCACAATTCAAAGTGTTGGTGCTGACCTTGAAAGCCCTAAATGGCCTCGGCTCAGTATACCTGAAGGAGCATCTTCACCCCCATCGTTCAGCCTGGACACTGAGGTCCAGCTCCGAGGGCCTTCTGGCGGTTCCCTCACTGAGAGAAGTGAGGTTACAGGGAACCAGGCAGAGGGCCTTCTTGGTGGTGGTGGTGCCCTCCCATCAGAATGTCAAGGAAATAAACAACTACATGACTTTTAAAAGACGTCAAAGAGATATCCAATTACAGCACCTTTTGAAGAAGAAGCAGCAACAGAGGAAAATCAGATGATGGCACAATTCAAACACTTTATTCCGTTTGGGAAGTTGGGTTTACAAATTTGGGGCAATATGTATATATATATTTTGTTTTTGTTTTTAATGCTGAAACTTCTCTCTGCAGAGAAGAGCAGCAACACTGGGGTACGTCCGGCAAATTGGGGTTGGGGGGGGCTCATAATTGTCCTTGGGGGCCAGATGGGATCACATCGAGCAAAAAGGGAAGGCCCTGGTGCTAAAAACTGGGGAGAGAGGAATATGATACCCAGTTTGCGTACACACACACACACACACACACACACACACAGAAAGATGGGTGTCCCCCGCTGCTCTGACACCCCCATCTGAAACTCAGCAAGCATTCCTGGATTCAGCAGAGGAAAGAGGGAAAAGGAACATGCTGTTTTTTGAGCGGTCAGTTCGTGCCTTGGCAAGGCGAGAGCTCTGCTGCCACTGACTTGTGGCACAACGAGAACGAGGGAGGCTGTCCCCGATCGTGCAAAGGCCTCCTCAACAACAGGAAGACGTCACCAAGTTGCACCTTGTTCCAAATTCCCATGAGCAAGGAAAAACCCCGTGCCAGAAGTGGAGCAGCGGTAAGGGGAGGCGAGATGAGGGGTGCATGCTCCCTGCAGATTTTAAAAAGACCCCCCAAAGAAACCCTCTGTTGTTAAGAGAGTCAAGAGAGGGGCGCCGATCGCACGGCAAGAATGCGAAAAGGTGATGCCAGGCTCAGAGGCCTCACTGAGGATTTTTCGCTCCCGCCTCCTCCTTACTCCCCCAGCCCCGAGTGCAATGCCAGCCCTCCTGACCCAAGAAGCTTATGGCTGCCAGATGAATCGGAGATGGAGGGACGTTTGCGGCCTTCCAGACACGACTGGACCCCCAGCAGCCAGCAGGGTCAATGGTCAGGGACGACAGTGGCAAAAGATGGAGGGCAGCAGTATCTGGAGGGATAGAGGCACTGAATAAACAAGCAGAGCAAGAACTAAGCGAGGGCAGCATGGCCTGGCAAGGGGCAGCCTCGGCCTCCTCCTTACAGAGGGGGGCACCCTACTTTGGGTAGTGAGTAGAGGCTTGCAGGATTGGGGAGGGGGTGCGCGGTTGTTGCTGAACGGATCCTCTGCACCAAACCGCCCTCCACAAACAGAGTAAAAGGCCAGTTTGGAAAACTGGAAGGCTAAGGAAGAGCGCCTCTCCCTAAAGTGGGTGGCACGGCAAAGTGATCTGCCCTCGCCTTTTCTCGCTTCTGCAATGCTGGGGGGCGGCATTTCTTTGTGGTTTCACCTGCAAGGGCTTTCATGCCTGCCCCACTGACCCACAACCCAATCTTGGAAGACATAATGACCTCTAAAGAAGAACTAGCTCCCGTCTTGAGATGCGACGTGGCAGAGAAAAGTGTTGCGCTTTGGGGGTTAGGAGGAGAAGGGGGCGGCACAGATTTTTGCTACGCCTGAGTCTCCCCCCGCCCCCCCCCCAAACCAAAGCACAAAGAGGCAGGTGAAGACGGCACCGTCCCAAGAGAGAGAAAGAAAGTTAGGTACCCGGGGCAATCCCATCTGGCCCTGCAGGAAAAGTTTCCGAGCCAATTTGAGCCTGCTTGCGCAGCAGATCAGGAAGCCCAAAATTAAGGGGTGTGTCTGGGGAGGGGGGAGGTTTTCGAGTCCAACGGGGGGAGTCAACGAAAGCAAGGGGGAATATTTAGTTGCACCTTAATTTTAATCCGTAGAGCGGAGCGTGGAGGGGACCACTGTGGCCTTGGCTGTTCTTGAAAGGCGGTTCAGTGTTGGGGCGGGGCGGAAAAAGGAGGTGGCCTCTCTCTCTTTCTCCCTGCACCGCTTCCCACGCCCACACATGGGGGGCTTCACCAGTCTCATTTCTGGCTGTTGTAAGCCGTGTGCCGCTGGTTCATGGGGTTCTCGGGCGACTTCATCCACTCTTTCTTGAGGAGCTGCTTCAGCTGCGAGAGCCGCATGTTGGGGTTTTCCTGCTTCAGCCGCGGCAGCTGGACCTCCTCGAAAGCCGTGAAGGCGGCCTTCATCCGGCGCTCGGGGTGGCGGTCCAGGTCGTCGGCAACGCTGGAGGTGGAGAAATGAGAAATATAGAAATGGCAGAACTGCAGAGCTGGAAGGGTTATCTAGTTACAAGCCTGGTGGATCAGGGGAATGCTGCAGGCATAGGTAAAGGTAAAGGGACCCCTGACCATTAAGGTCCAGTCGTGGCCGACTCTGGGGTTGCGGCGCTCATCTCGTTTTATTGACCGGCATACAGCTTCTGGGTCATGTGGCCAGCATGGCTAAGCCGCTTCTGGCGAACCAGAGCAGCGCACGGAAACGCTATTTACCTTCCCGCCGGAGCGGTACCTATTTATCTACTTGCACTTTGACATGCTTTCAAACTGCTAGGTTGGCAGGAGCAGGGAGTGAGCAACGGGAGCTCATTCCGTCGCGGGGATACGAACCGCCGACCTTCTGATCGGCAAGTCCTAGGCTCTGTGGTTTAATCCGCAGCACCACCCACATCCCTGCTGCAGGTATAGTATAACTTGATTTCAATAAGGCTTTTGACAAAGTCCCCTGTGATATTCTTGCAAGGAAGCTGGTGAAATGTGGGTTGAACGAGGGAACTGTTAGGTGGATTTGTAGCGGGTTGAAGGACCAAACCTAAAGGTAAAGGGACCCCTGACCGTTAGGTCCAGTCGTGGCCAACTCTGGGGTTGCAGCGCTCATCTCGCTTTACTGGCCAAGGGAGCCGGCGTACAGCTTCCGGGTCATGTGGCCAGCAGGACTAAGCCGCTTCTGGTGAACCAGAGCAGCGCACGGAAACGCCGTTTACCTTCCCGCCAGAGAGGTACCTATTTATCTACTTTCACTTTGACGTGCTTTCGAACTGCTAGGTTGGCAGTTCTCATTAATGAGAGAACTCATTAATGGTTCCCCGTCATTCTGGGGAAAATTAACCAGTTGGGTGCCACGGGGATTCGTCCTGGGCCCATTGTTGTTCAACGTCTTTATAAACGACTTGGATGAAAGAATTGAGGTGATGCTCATCCAATTTGCAGATGGCACCAAACTGGGAGGGGGAGCTAATGTCGTAGAAAACAGAACCGGGATTCGAAATGACCTCAACAGTTCTATGATTCTATGACTTTAATGCAAGAAAGGAGATTCCCACTAAAAATCAGGAAGAACTTTCCGACATTAAGAGCTGTTCAACTGTGGAATGGACTCCCTTGGGCGGTTGTGGACTCTCCTTCATTGAAGGGAAGGGATTTAAGCAGAGGTTGGGTTGTCAGGGATTACACCTGGGTAAGCAGGTGTCAGGGATTCTTTGGCTGTGATTCCTGCATTCGTAGAACAGTAGCGTTGGAAGGGATCCCAAGGGTCATCCAGTCCAACCCTCGGCAATGCAGGAATCTCAGCTAAAGCACCTATGACAGATGCCCACCCAACCTCTGCTTAAAAACCTCCAAGGAAGGGGAATCCACAACTGTCCAATGGAGTCCATTCCACAGTCAAACTCCCAATGTTTTGCCAGAATCTTCTTTTTTGTCATTTGAATGCATCACTTCAGACCCTACTCTCCAAATCAGCAGGTAATCAACTTGCTCAATCTTCCATGGGGTAGCCCTTTCGATATTAGAAGATGGCTGTCATATCACCTCTCAGCCTTCTCTTTCTCTGAATAAATTTAGCGACTCTTCCCCAGCCGGACTCATCTCTGCCTCCCTCCTCTCCTGCTTCAGTTTCCACCTCTGATTCCGGACTTCCCTTGGGGGTTCCCCCAGCAGGTTCCTCCCACCACTCTTCTGCATCCCGTCAGTCCATGACAGCTGCCTAGGTCTCCTCCTCTCATGGGTTTTCCCCAAGCAATCGGAGACTGCGCCTGCGCAAAACCAACCTCTCCTCCGCCCTTTTCATGCCTCTCCTGGTTCTGGGAGACTAGCGGGGAAGGGAGCTGGTTGTAACAGTAGGGGGAGACTCCCTGGCATCTTCACCAGCCTGACCCATCTCTGCCTCCTGACCTCCCTCCTCTCCTGTTTCAGCTTCTGCCTCTGGTTCTGAACTTCTCTCTGCCACAGAGTCTCCCCGCTCACTAAGCCCTGTTGCCTCTTCAGCTTCCGCCACCTCCTCCTCCCAGTCTCGTCCCTCTTCTGCCCCTGACCACTCATCATTGCCCCACCACCCCTCTCTGGACTCTGAGCCTTCCTCCCTTGGGGGGTTCACTTCATGAAATCTGGCCCTCTTTGAAAAAAGTTTGGGCCCCCCTGCTTTGGAGCATCCGACTGGCCCCTGTGAGGACAGGATGCTGGACTAGACAGGCCCCTCTTTGTCCTCATCCAGCTGCTGCAGGACGCCTCCTAGGCTCTTAGCTCTCACGTGGATTACCTGAGCACTGCAATGGCATCCTCGATGGTCCGTGCCTCTACAGCGCCTTCCTCCAGGATCCTGCGGTTGATGTTCTCTTCCAAGGGCATCTCAAGGTGACTCTTCAGCTTCTCTCCTGGCAGAGAAGGGGGCAAATGGAAGCACAGGTTAGCTGGAGGTCAACCTTTTTTTAAAAAATGCAGTAATACATTGCAGGGGACTGGACCCTCCTCAGGGTCCATCATTCTAACACACTGCATTCTGTGAGTCACTCTCTGCTCTGGATGTGGCTGTGGTCTAAACCACTGAGCCTCTTGGGCTTGCTGATCAGAAGGTTGGCAGTTTGAATCCCCATGACGGGGTGAGCTCCCGTTGCTCTGTCCCAGCTCCTGCCAACCTAGCAGTTCGGAAAGCACACCAGCGCAAACAGATAAATAGGTACCGCTCCGGCGGGAAGGTAAACAGCATTTCTGTGTGCTTTGGCTTCCGTCAGTGTCCTCTTGCACCAGAAGCAGTTTAGCCCTGCTGGCCACATGACCCGGAAAGCTGTCTGTGGACCAACGCCGGCTCCCTCGGCCTGAAAGCGAGATGAGCGCCACAACCCCATAGTCGCCTTTCACTGGACTTAACCGTCCAGTGGTCCTTTACCTTTTTTTACCTGGACTCCCAGCACCCGCTAGTTCAGGCATAGGCAAACTCTTGCCCTCCAGATATTTGGGACTACAATTCCCATCATCCCTAGCTAACAGGACCAGTGGTCAGGGATGCTGGGAACTGTAGTCCCAAACATCTGGAGGGCCGGAGTTTGCCTATGCCTGCGCTAGCCCATCATCTCCCGCTCACCGGGTTCCCCGTTCTCCTTCTGCTGCTCTTTCCGGAGCACCTCGTCGATCTGCGCCCGGGTGACTTTGCCCGGGGGCAGCGGCTTGGGAGTCTTCCCCTTCAGCTTGGCATCCTCTTCTTCCAGGAGGCGCTGCAGCTCCTTCTTGCGCTCCACCTGCTCCAGGCGCCGTTTCTCGCGCTCTTCCTAAAGCCACCGGAGGGCGGGAGGGAGAGAGAGAAAAGAGTCTAGTCCTCAGTCTAGAGCCAGTGTGGTGTAGTGGTTAAGAGGGTTTGCTTCCCCGCTCCTCCACCTGCAGCTGCTGGGTGACCTTGGGCCAGTCACACTTCTCTGAAGTCTGGCTGCATCAATAGGAGTATAGCATCTAGATCAAGGGAAGTAATAGTGCCACTGTATTCTGCTCTGGTCAGACCTCACCTGGAGTACTGTGTCCAGTTCTGGGCACCACAGTTCAAGAAGGACACTGACAAACTGGAACGTGTCCAGAGGAGGGCAACCAAAATGGTCAAAGGCCTGGAAACGATGCCTTATGAGGAACGGCTAAGGGAGCTGGGCATGTTTAGCCTGGAGAAGAGGAGGTTAAGGGGTGATATGATAGCCATGTTCAAATAGATAAAAGGATGTCATATAGAGGAGGGAGAAAGGTTGTTTTCTGCTGCTCCAGAGAAGCGGACACGGAGCAATGGATCCAAACTACAAGAAAGAAGATTCCACCTAAACATTAGGAAGAACTTCCTGACAGTAAGAGCTGTTTGACAGTGGAATTTGCTGCCAAGGAGTGTGGTGGAGTCTCCTTCTTTGGAGGTCTTTAAGCAGAGGCTTGACAACCATATGTCAGGAGTGCTCTGATGGTGTTTCCTGCTTGGCAGGGGGTTGGACTCGATGGCCCTTGTGGTCTATTCCAACTCTATGATTCTATGATTCTATGATAAACTCCGAAAAATAACTTAACCTTAAGCCTAGGTTACTGTCGTCGCCACAATGGAATGTCTAGGAGCCTTTTTTTGGCAACTGATTTTATTTTATTATTATCCATTTCATTTCTATACTACCTTCTATTTGAAAGAGAGAGAAAACCCTCAAAGCAGGTTTTCAACACATTAAAACTTCCAATAAAACAATCCAGAATAAAAGAAATTCAGGAAAGTATTTCAGATCCTTCGGCAGGTGACATTTTGCTTTCCCTCTATTTATTTATTTATTTATTTACCTACTTAATTTATAGAGCTGCCCCACAGCAGAAGGGCTCTAGGGAGGCAGGGTGGTGTAGCGGTTAGAGTGTCAGACCTGGGAGATCAGGGTTCAAATCCCCACTCAGTCCTGGAGCTCACTGGGCGACTCTGGAGTCAGTTCCAGCCTCTTAGCTCACAGGGTCGTCGGTGGGATTAACGGAGGAATGGGTGAACCATGTACTCCTTGGAGAAAAAGGTGAGAGATAAGAAAGCTGGAGGGGCCAGACAGGTGGTGATGCCAGTTGCAAACCTGGCGCCCAGAGATCTCCATGTGGCTGTAACTGGACCAGCGCCAGTTGCAAAATGCTCCTGTGCCTGGGGAATTTTGAGCACTACCACTGAGCTATGGCCCTTCCCCTGTGCATGGACTACAAATCCCATAACTCCCAGCCAGCCTCCCAGGCTGCATGATATCAGGGAGGGTGGTATCTGTAAGCCCAAAACATCTGAAGTTTGGGAAAAGTTGGCCTGCAATACAAGCCTTCCTAAATAATCAAAGACAGCAATCCATTCAACGATTCGCCAAGAAGCGCAGCTAAGCCCAAGATCAACGGCGCAGAAAGCCCAACATGCCCATTAACACCTCCCAACTGGCCAAGGTGGTACAGAAAGCAATTTGCGCGTTGGATCTGGTCAATAGCAATCAACAAATCCAAAAGCCCAGGAGAGGCATTAAGACCAGGAGTCAATAAGGCCAGAGACTCTTTCGAAATGGAAAAGCTGTGTCTCAAAGTGCGCCCCGTACACATCGCCCAGATGAGCCATCAGATCATTTAACATTTGAAGATTCAGAGCAAATGAAAGAAAGGTCTTCCCCTCTGTGGTGGAGAGCTGAACTGCGGAACTCCCCGCCACAGGAGGAAGTGAAGACCATGACTTTGAGAACTGCAGAAGGAGCCAGGAAGAGAGGAGAGGAGTTCAGGGATATTTTTTTTAAAAAAAACAACCATAGCTATGTCTCCTTTAAAAAAATTTTTTTAATTATTATTATTATTATTATTATTTGTATTATTATGCTCTACACCTGCAGGTCTCAGGGAGGTTCACAATATAAAATCACATAGTAATAATATAATAATAACAAGAATTTATTATTTATACCCCGCCCATCTGGCTGGGCTTCCCCAGCCACTCTGGGCAGCTTCCACCCAAATATTAAAATACAGTAATGCATCAAACATTAAAAGCTTCCGCAAAGAGGGCTGCCTTCAGATGTCTTCTGAAAGTTTGGTAGTTGTTGTTCTCTCTGACATCTGGTGGGAGGGGCGTTCCACAGGGCGGGTGCCACCACCGAGAAGGCCCTCTGTCTAGTTCCCTGTAACTTGGCTTCTTGCAGTGAGGGAACCACCAGAAGGCCCTCGGATCTGGACCTCAGTGTCTGGGTAGAACGATGGGGGTGGAGACGCTCCTTCAGATATACAAACAAAATCATATCTATATCTATCTATCTATGTTATAATACAAACAATTTGCTCGCTTTATATGGTTTTTTGTGCTTTGTGGTATTTGTAGTTTTGTATGTTTCATTTTATGCATTGTGATTCGCCATTTTTTTAATTGATTATAGTTTAGCAATTCTTTATTGTAACTTAGGTGCAAATTGCTTAAGCATTATTTATTAATACGTATTTAGTTTTACTGCTTACTATTATATTCTAAGGGATGCGGGTGGCGCTGTGGGTTAAACCACAGAGCCTAGGACTTGCCAATCAGAAGGTCGGTGGTTCGAATCCCCGTGACGGGGTGAGCTCCCGTTGCTCGGTCCCTGCTCCTGCCAACCTAGCAGTTCGAAAGCACGTCAGAGTGCAAGTAGATAAATAGGTACCGCTTCGATGGGAAGGTAAACAGCATTTCCGTGCGCTGCTCTGGTTCGCCAGAAGCGGCTTAGTCATGCTGGCCACATGACCCGGAAGCTGTACGCTGGCTCCCTCGGCCAGTAAAGCGAGATGAGCACCGCAACCCCAGAGTTGGTCACGAAGGGACCTAATGGCCAGGGTCCCTTTACCTATTATATTCTAATGGATGGTGGAATGGTGCTTAATTTGATATACAGCAAGTTGTGCTTTTTTTGAAGTTACCGTATGTTTTTATTATGACTTTCTATGGTCTGCCTGAAACCCTGGAGAGCTGCTGGCAGTCAGTGTGGGCAATACTGGGCTAGACAGACGCCAATGGATCTGGCTGAAGGTGACGCAGCTGGCCTTATAGGTTCGCATCCCGTTAAAGATTTGAGTCTCAAAACGGCATTGTGCTCAAACTTAATGGCGGAGGAGAAATTGGCCGTTCTGGCCGAGGCTGAATCCTCACCAAAAAGAGGAAGGTGCTCTTGCAAGAGGATAGGAAGGAGAGAGAGAGAGAGAGAGAGAGAGAGAGAGAGAGAGAGATCACAGAATTATAGAGCTGGAAGGGACCCCCAAAGCCATCTAGTCCAACCTCCTGCCACACAGGAGATAGAAGTGAGGGAGAGAGAGGATGGAAACAGAGAACACTCTGCATCCCTGGAGCCAGCGAGTTTGTGTCACCATGGAAGCATGATCAAATTAACCCAGCTGGTCTGATCCAAAGGATGTGTCCCGCCCCAGGGGACAGGTCGATGTCACGGAGATGCAGGGCTGAAACCGGAACCTCGCCGAGACGGGAGCAACGCCGCCCTTGGTCTGGCGTAGTTTCAAGGCTCCCGAATTATGGAGGTGCCTTTAATTAAGCTCTCTGGTCCTCCCCCTTGGGCCCTTCCGCGTGCAAAGCAAGCGTCCTTGCCGCCCCTTTCTCCCCTCGCCACCCCACAAAAGGGAAACGAAACACTATAGGATTCATCCAAAGAGACAGAAGAGAGGGACAAACCTGTTCTGTGATTCCAGGAGCTCCCAAACCAGCTAGAGAGATCTATCCGTTGCTGCCGCCTCCTGGGCAGAAGGGAGAAGTGCCCCTTCGCCGAATGGAGCGTGAAAGGTGTTGTTTGCCTGCTTCAGAAGACTCCAGCGTCTACCCAAGTAACACAGACCATTGGGTCACCTGGCTCAGCTATTGGCTAGCACTGGTTGGAGGGTTTCTGACTGGGGGGGGGTGTTTCCCCAGCCCTTCCAGGAGCCACTGCAGAATGAACCTGGGTGCTCATGCAGGTTCTCTGCTCCTGAGCTCCATCCCATCCCCAAAAGATAAAACAAGATTCTATCTAGTCCCCATGGTAATAATAATAATAATAATAATTTATAATGGGAGCCTGCCTAAGCTAGATGGCTTTCAGGCAAAATTTCTACGATGTCTGCTGCAGGTACCCAACTATGTCCCCAACTCCATACTTCTGTTAAAGGTAAAGGTAAAGGGACCCCTGACCATTAGGTCCAGTCGTGGCCGACTCTGGGGTTGCGGCGCTCATCTCACTTTATTGGCAGAGGGAGCCAGCGTTACAGCTTCCGGGTCATGTGGCCAGCAGGACTAAGCCGCTTCTGGCGAACCAGAGCAGCGCACGGAAACGCCGTTTACCTTCCCGCCGGAGCGGTATCTATTTATTTACTTGCACTTTGACGTGCTTTCAAACTGCTAGGTGGGCAGGAGCAGGGACCGAGCAACGGGAGCTCACCCCGTCTCGGGGATTCGAACCGCTGACCTTTTGATCAGCAAGTCTTAGGCTCTGTGGTTTAACCCACAGCGCCACCCGTATCCCTTATACTTCTATTAGAAGCTGGTGAATGCCCAATTTCAACTAAAGCGTGGTGGCCTGCCCTAAAACATTGGCTCAGGATTTCAGTGTTTGATCTAGGGAAGGGTTTGTACCAACACACGACCAATGAGGAGTTTGTCAGCAAATGGCAGAAAACCATGGCTAGAAAAGCCACCTCTATTGGTCTGTCATCCACCCCCCAACTTTATTACCTGGGTTATGAAGGCGCCCTAAAGATATTAAAGCAAAGATTATGGGATAATGCACACAGTAGCTTGCGATCTCAATCACATGCAGTCTGTAGTCCGCTGGCAGTAGGAGTACAATATGGGCATGTCTTTAAATTAACACCTTACATTAAAAACCTGACAGTACCAAATTATCGAAGGTTATTCACCAAAGCCAGACTAAACGTCTTTCCTTCTGCAGTGTTGAGAGGAGTTCCCTACCAGGACAGACTTTGCTCGTGTGCTCAAGACATTGATTCTATAAAACATATTTTGCTGCACTGTGCAAAATATGAGCAAGCCAGGGCTGAACTGATATTACCCTTGCTGGTACCTTTCCCAGGAAAATCAGAGGCTCACTATGTCAGGTTCCTATTGGAAGACCGGACAAACGCTAGAACATTAGCAGTGGCGAAGTTTTTATCGGTGCTTGCAAGAACCAATGATCCCTATATTCTGAACAAAATGCTTGTTTAACCTGGAGGTAGGCTGTCTGAATTGTGCAGGGCTGCCTTCAGGTGACTTCTAAAAGTCAGATAGTTGTTTATTTCCTTGACATCTGAAGGGAAGGTGTTCCACAGGGCGGGTGCCACCACCGAAAAGGCCCTCTGCCTGGTTCCCTGTAACCTCACTTCTTGCAGGGAGGGAACCACCAGAAGGCCCTCGGCACTGGACCTCAGTGTCCGGGTAGAACGATGGGGGTGGAGACGCTCCTTCAGGTATACAGGACCGAGGCCATTTAGGGCTTTAAAGGTCAGCACCAACACTTTGAATTGAGCTCGGAAATGTACTGGGAGCCAATGTAGGTCTTTCAGGACCGGTGTTCTATAGTCCCGGCGGCCACACCCAGTCACCAGTCTAGCTGCCGCATTCTGGATTAGTTGTAGTTTCCAGGTCACCTTCAAAGGTATAAACAAAGGGCCTGCATTAAACTGGGATTGTACCAAGTTGCTGGACACCAGTGCAGACTATCTGTGCATCTAGGCCTGTATTGGTTACACTGTTTGGCAGCTGCTCTCCAGGGTTTTTTGCAGGGGCAATCCAGCCAGATGGGCAGGGTATAAGTATATTATTATTATTAGTAGTAGTAAGTAAAGGTAAAGGGACCCCTGACCATTAGGTCCAGTCGTGTCCAACTCTGGGGTTGCAGCGCTCATCTCGCTTTATTGGCCGAGGGAGCCGGCGTACAGCTTCCGGGTCATGTGGCCAGCAGGACTAAGCCGCTTCTGGTGAACCAGAGCAGCGCACGGAAACGCCTTTTTCCTTCCTGCCGGAGCAGTACCTGTTTATCTACTTGCACGTTGACATGCTTTCGAACTGCTAGGTTGGCAGGAGCAGGGACCGAGCAACGGGAGCTCACCCCGTCGCGGGGATTTGAACCGCCGAACCTGTTATTATTAGTAGTAGTGTGGGTATTATTATAAAGCTGGGGATTGCAGTAGGGACCTTTCACACACCCAAAGGAGGCACTCTACCTGTGAGCTACAGGTCTTGGCTAGGGCGTTAAAGGAGGGACAGTACTTCTGGTGGGGGACATGTTGTGCTCCTCCTGGGGTCGTTTGCCCACCTGCATTCAGCATTCACCTGTGGCTCCTGGAAGCTGCAAGGAGGCGACAGCGGCCACAATCCCAGAATGGCTCCGACTGGCCGGCTGAACCAAGTGAGGGGAGCTGATGGGTCTCAGACCCTTGGTGAGTTAGGGGCTTCCCCTGCATGCGAAGACAGGCTCTGGTGGACGGAATGGACGAGACCAAGAGTGGGCCCCATGGTCAAGAAGGCGGTTTCTGCCCCTGCTGTAGAGGGAAGTGAGGGGCCGATGGGGCTTGGATCCTATCTAGAAGGAAAACTGTGACCCCAAATCTCTGCTGCCTTGTGGGATATATTTGGGAGAAGAAAAGGCCCAGGAGAAAACTCTACACAAATCCACAGTGGAGACACTAAGGTGGTTGGATGGTGCCTTGTACGCCTCCTTCCGGTAACTCCTGCAGCCAAGCTGGTGCCAAACGTCTTGCTTTCCGTTCCTTTGGACCCCATCAGTGAGGCTGAGAGGGGGGTCTTAATGTCTGTGAAGCCCAGGACACACCCACCCACCCACGGCCCAGGCTTTGTCGCCCCAGGAAGGCCATCTCAGTGCTGCTAGCCTGGCAAAAACAACACAGGAGGCAGCAGTCACAGGCTTCAGGTGAAGAAAGGGTGACACACCCCAGATCGGATCCTGCCCTTCCAGATTCCTGGGAGGTGATTAAGCCCTGAAGTGCTCAGAATAAGGAAGTCAGCCCGGTCAGAAGAGTCACAAAACCACATTATTTGTCTCAGGTCGGGCAATTCAGAGAGTATCTGATCTGCTTAAGAATGCCAGAAGATGCCCACCGACTCCAAGGTTGCCCATGATGGAGTGGGGATTCGAACCCTGATCTCCCAGGCCCTACTCCAGCACTCTCACCACCCCACTTCTGCCATGGGGCGGCTTTAAAAATCTAGTCGGTAAATAAATAAGGGGAAGGCAAAATGGCACTTAAAGGGTTGAAAAGATTCTTGAAGTCTGAATTTGTTTTATTCTGGATTTGATGTTTTAATGCGTTGTCAACTGCTTTGAGCCCCCCCCCCCATTTAAGGTGGTGCATGCTCTGGTTATCTCTCGCTTGGACTACTGCAATGCGCTCTATGTGGGGCTACCTTTGAAGGTGACCTGGGAACTGCAATTAATCCAGAATGTGGCAGCTAGACTGGTGACTGGGAGTAGCAGCCGAGACCTACATTGGCTCTCAGTACATTTCCAAGCACAATTCAAAGTGTTGGTGTTGACCTTGAAAGCCCTAAACGGCCTCAAAGGCCCAGTATACCTGAAGGAGCATCTCCACCCCCATCGTTCTGCTCAGACACTGAGGTCCAGCTCCAAGGGCCTTCTGGCGGTTCCCTCGCTGCGAGAAGTGAGGTTACAGGGAACCAGGCAGAGGGCCTTCTCGGTGGTGGCACCCGCCCTGTGGAACGCCCTCCCACCAGATGTCAAAGAGAACAACAACTACCAGACTTTTACAAGACATCTGAAGGCAGCCCTGTTTAGGGAAACTTTTAATGTTTGATGCATTACTGTATTTTATTTTTTGTGGGAAGCTGCCCAGAGTGGCTGGGGAAGCCCAGCCAGATGGGCGGTGTATAAATAATAAATTGTTATTATTATTATCATCATCATTATTATTGTTGCAGTATAGAAATGAAGCAAATAATAACCATAATCATTATAAGGTTCAATGTAAAAAAAGAAGAACTTGGGTTTGTTGTGGGTTCTTGGTTTCATTTTTATGACGTATTTTGTGTTTTCATTTTGCGGGTTCCTGCTGCAGCCGCTCTGAGAACCGCAGGCGGCATACAAATTTAATAAATAATAACAAAACAATAAGGAACATTTTCATTCCTATGCCGCTTTGTATTTTAAAGAAAAACAATAACCCCGAAGCTGTTGACAACACTTGAAAACATCAAATCAAATCATTCGGAACAAAACGAGTTCAAGCTTCCAGACAAGAATATTTCAGAGCCTTCTCTCAGTGGCGTTTTGCTTTGCCCGTATTTATTTCCCAACTTAATTTATACAGCTAATTTAATAAAAAACAAATCAAAAAGGCGCCTAGACATTCTGCTGTGGCGACCGCAAGCTCGGTTTAAGGTGCATATACATTTGAGTTTCTAAGGGCAGCTCGCTCTGCTCCTCTTCCCTTTGCAACCTGGCAGAGAATTTTGGGGGACCCCCGTCCCCCCACTTCCGGCCAGCCCCTCCCCGCTCACCTTCCTCTGCTCCTTCCTCATGACGTGTTTGTCCTCGTCTTTCCAGAAGGCATCCTCCAGCTCTTTCTGCTTCTTGGCATCAGCTGCTGCCTTGGCCTCCGCCTTCCTCGCTCGGGCGGCTGCCGACTTGGTGTTCTCCCCTTGGAACTTTTTGGGCATCCCTCAGGGTCCTCTGGCCTGGCGGGGGGGGGGGGGGAGTCGGCAAAAGAGGGGTTTGCAAACGTGATTTTTGTTTTATTTGCAATTTTGCACTCAGAGTGACCTGCGCCGTAAAAGCAAAGCCACGGAGATGTTAGATAAGGTAAATGGACCCCTGACCATTAGGTCCAGTCGTGGCCGACTCTGGGGTTGTGGCGCTCATCTCGCTTTACTGGCCGAGGGAGCCAGCGTACAGCTTCCGGGTCATGTGGCCAGCAGGACTAAGCCGCTTCTGGCGAACCAGAGCAGCGCACGGAAACGCCGTTTACCTTCCCGCCGGAGCGGTACCTATTTATCTACTTGCACTTTGACGTGCTTTCGAACTGCTAGGTTGGCAGGAGCAGGGAGCGAACAACGGGAGCTCACCCCGTCGCGGGGATTCTGCAATGCAGAAATCTCAGCTCATGCCTCCATGACAGGTGGCCATCTAACCTCTGCTTAAAAATCTCTGAGGAAGGTGTAACTATAGTTACAGGCTGCATAAAGGTAAAGGTAAAGGTACCCCTGCCCGTACGGGCCAGTCTTGCCAGACTCTAGGGTTGTGCGCCCATCTCACTCAAGAGGCCGGGGGCCAGCGCTGTCCGGAGACACTTCCGGGTCACGTGGCCAGCGTGACAAAGCTGCATCTGGCGAGCCAGCGCAGCACACGGAAACGCCGTTTACCTTCCCGCCAGTAAGCGGTCCCTATTTATCTACTTGCACCCGGAGGTGCTTTCGAACTGCTAGGTTGGCAGGCGCTGGGACTGAACAACGGGAGCGCACCCCGTCACGGGGATTCGAACCGCCGACCTTTCGATCGGCAAGCCCTAGGTGCTGAGGCTTTTACCCACAGCGCCACCCGCGTCCCCTTACAGGCTGCATACACACCCCATATTTGAGGCACTGGATCCCACACACCCCGCCTCCCCTCCCCGAATCATTTGAAAACAGCTGAAGGTCTTTGGGAAGTGGAACCACTTAATGGTCTTCTCTGCTTGTGGCAGCCATTGTAACCATGAAATCAGAGGGTTGGGGCCCCCCAGGGTCATCCAGTCCACCCCCCCTGCAATGCAGGAATCTCAGCTAATGCCTCCACGACAGGTGGCCATCTAACCTCTGCTTAAAAACCTCCGAGGAAGGTGATGTGCTGTGTGGCTTTAAATTTTATTTTTACAGACACGCCATGGGCCACCAGTGATCTCCAGACCACAATTTTGGGACCTTTGATATAAAGTACACGACTTTGCTCCAAGGATCCCTTGCATTTTAACCTGTATTTTAAATTGGGTTTCCCCCCCTATTATGTTTTTACTGTAATTTTACTGGTGTTAGCCGCCCTGAGCCTGGCTCTGGCCAGGGAGGGCGGGGTATAAATAAAATTTATTATTATTACTATATATAAAATATATACCGCACTTCATCAAAAGATCTCAGGGCAGTTCACAGTATAAAATGCAAGATAAAACACAAGTAAATAATTAAACTCAAACAATTTTATGGAGTGTCTGTACACAGCTACAGTTTGTGTGTAATAATGCTAAAAAATCTTGCAACACTGCTATATATACAGTTCAGGGGTGTGCAAACTATTATCCCGGAGAACGTGTATGCAAACATGGTAAAGCAACTTATTTCCAAAGACTAGACAACGGAAAGTGACCACCAGGCGATTGAAAATAAAACTTAAAAATTATCTAAAATACAATTAGGGGGTTAAAAACAAAATTAAGGTGATGTGGGTAGACTGCTAGAATTAAAGAAAAAAATGAGGAAAATTTTCTTTAAGAAGGGAAATATTTTGTGGGTTATTTAAAAATATATATCATGGTCACGTTAAAACGTATGCAGGACTTGAAGCATAGCAACAGATGAGAAATGATAGTTTAATAAGTTCGAATTAATGTATATAATGGGTAAAATGTAAGTAATACAGCAGCTTTATACAGTAAGGAAAGAACACCGTGGAAAGGGTGGCTGGGAAGTCAACGGAGAGGAGAGATTTGTACTGAGTGTTGCCTAAAAGAATTTGCAAAATCTGATAATTTAGTAACAAACAAAAAAAGAATCAAAATTTAAGAGCTGTATGCAAAAGTATGCCAAACGCACAAGAGCACTTTCACAATTAATAACAATAATAATAAAAATGTGATTTGAGGATACAGAAGTAGCAGCTGGCACGAAGTAAACAAAGGGCTTGATTTATTTATTTTTAAAGGGCGCATTTTATTCAATGGGAGATTAATAAGAAGAGCTAATAAAATGCATTGCAAGGTTGGAGATATTTCTTTTCTTCTCTCCTCCTTTCCCTTTCTCTCTTTCCACCCCATGGCTTTGGGGGGGGTCTCCCCCTTCCCCTCCCCCCTGAAGGCAGCCCCTTGCCCCATAATAAGACGGGGGGGGGTGTCTCGCAATCCCCTGCCATCCTGCCCCACCCAACCCTCCCCTTACCTGCCGCCTCCACCTCCGGCCGTCGCAGCCTTTGTCCGTCACGCCCCCGCCTCCCTTTTCGAAAGCCACCCCTCCATGGGGCGCGGAAAGGGGGGGGGTAGTCTCGCCGCCGCATCTTTTGACGCCATTTTTGTTGAGGGCGGTTTCCATGTTTGTTGAGGGCAAAGCCAGCATTTCCCCCTCCCCTCCATTCCCCAATTTTTTTTGTTCCCCTGCCTTTTCTTCGCTTCCTCACGGCAGACCGGAGGGCTAGTGATGTGTGGGGAAGGAAAAGAAAGAAACGCCCCCCCCTCCCCACTTCTTCAGCAGCATTTCGAATTCATGTTGCCCGATACAAAGATGGCGTCGGCCACGACACGGAAGTGCCCGGGAGCAAAAGGGAGCAGTGTGCCCACTACTAAGATGGCCGCCGGCTCCTCACGTGAAAGCGTGACCTGCTCCGAGATGGCGCCTGCGCTCACACTCTATGGGCTTTTCTTATCTCTATGGGTGAATCCAAGATGGCTGCGGGACCTCGCCCGATGCAAACATGGCGGCAATCGCCTTCACGCTGCCCTTTGCCATGATGGCCGACCCGTCGCCTTGGAAACGGCTGTCTTAGGGCCTAAGAAGCTTTGTGTAAGTTTTTATGTTGTGTTAAATGTAATGTTTTTCTTTTGTGTTTTTGTCTGTGTGTTATAAGAGAAAACTAATAAACTTTTTTTTTGTGGGGGGGAAGCTTTGTGTAAGGGCAGCGACCGCCACAAAGATGGCGGATTCGGCTACAAAAGCCACATTGGTTTATTATGATTTTCAAAAGTCTCGTTTTTTGTTTGTTTTTTAATGTCAAAGCCGAGACCACAGGAAAAAGAAAACAAAAAAGGCGACAGGGCGAAAGCAAGGAAGGTTTGGGGCTCAGTAATGGAAAGCAGCCCCCAGCATTGGCAATACTGATAGACTTGTTGCAGCTGGACCCAAATGGGTCTTACTTCTGAGTAGTCACGCACAGGGATTGCATTGCAAGGCCGCGACCTTCAATGCACTTTTGGTTGCAATCTTAGGACAGCTTATGACGTTTAGCTAATTGGTCTTTAAAAAAAAAGTATTTCCCCCACCCATGCATCTAAATTTATGAAGGGGTGGGAAAGGTCTGAAAGACCAGTTTAATTTCAGGTGCTTTTTCCTCCATCACATCCCTGCAAACTTCAGCACATTTGCGAGAATAATAAAACAACGAACAAAGTTCAAATCTCAAATTATCCTGATTTGCAAACTGAAACCACATGCACATCTCCATTCGCCACAATCCTTAATACAGTGGTGCCTCGCAAGACGAAATTAATTCGTTCCGCGAGTTTTGTCATCTTGCGATTTTTTTCCTCTTGCGAAGCACGGTGTCGGGAAGTTTTGGAAAAGGTTCAAAAACCACCAAAGTCTTCAAAAACCTCAAAAAAGGCTACCACACCACGTTCTATGAGTTGCTCCTCGAAGTCAAGTCGCAACTGTATTAACGGTGTTAAGAAAAAGGAAACAAACTTGCAAGACGTTTCCGTCTTGCGAAGCAAGCCCATAGGGAAAATCGTCTTGCGAAGCAACTCAAAAAACCAAAAACCCTTTCGTCTAGCGAGTTTTTTGTCTTGCGAGGCATTCGTCTTGCGAGGTACCACTGTAATAATAATAATAATAATAATAATAATAATAATAATAATGGTGATGGTGATGGTTGTTTTATTTGTACCCCTCTCATCTGATTGAGTTGCCCCGGGTACTTTGGGCGGCTTCCAACATATATAAAAACATAATTAAAAAGCTTCCCTTTACATATTTACTGAAACAGGCAGTTACCCGGGTTACTGGATCTTGCTCCATTGCAGATCCACCAAATAAATAAGTGGCACAGTAGGTTTCTGCCTCCCACCAAATCCGCCGCCTCATTCTGGCTAATAATAACAGTTTTAATAATAATTTTATTATTTCTAGGCCGCTTGTCTGCCTGGGTTGGCCCAGTGGGATGTCCAGTCTTGCCCATGTATTTGAATTGCTGACCAGTTAGCAGCTTCCCACAATTCCTTGCCAGCAGCCATTTCCTGCCCTCCTGTGCCAGCCCAAGACATTTTGGCGCCTGAGGCACACCACAAAATATGTGCGGAAAGATCTACATCAGGAACCTGGCAGCAGGGGATAGAGATCTTCTGTTGCCCCTATGGATCCTGCCGCCCGAAGCAGTCGCCTTGCCATGCCTCATGCGAGGGCCGGCACTGAGCCATGCAGTAGGAAGAAAGCCTAAAGCTGCAATGTTTCACCCTTCTTCCTAGCTATTCCTTTTCAAGAGAGGAATTAGCCCAAGTGCCTAGAACGGTGTGCCGATAACACCGGGGTTGGGCTGGATGACCCTTGAGGTCCCTTCCAATTCTCCCATTCTAGGATTCTATGACTGCCCTCCTATTGATGCACAATGTTGGGCTGGGTCTAAAAATATTGGTTGTCAGGAGTTAAAAGGGGCCCACCCACAACTACGAGGCTACCATTTAATTTTTATAAGAAATAAATAGAAAATTTCAAAAAACACCTAAGTGGGAAAAGGTACAATTAAAATTTGTGTGAAATGAATGTATTTTTTTAAAGTAATCACAATGTACATATATTATACATCTGACCCCCTTCTTTCTATGGGACCCTGTATATAAGTGACCCTCCCTGGCTCTTATTACCTATGGGACCAGCATGGGTGGCCAGGCCTGGTGAACATTTAATTCCTTACCCTTACGGTTATGATTCGTGGGTTCCCACTTAATTTTATTTTGATTTTAAATGTGATTTGAATTGTATTTTAAACTAATCATTTGATTTTGTGTTTTTAATGTATTATATATTTGGTGTTAGCCGCCCTAAACCCGGTCCCGGCCGTGGAGGGCGAGGTATAAATAAATTATTATTATTATTATTAGTAGTAGTAGTAGTAGTAGTAGTATTCTATTAAATACAGGTGGTTATAAATTATTTTTTAAAATTAATATTAAATAAATGGTGTACATTTTTAAATAGTTTGCTAGTAAATGAACATTTTACACATTAACAGGTAGTTCAAAACCATATTCCATGCAGTCGACTGCATTAAGAGCAATTGTTTGAATTCACTAGATGACTGGGCAAATAGATCATATTTTCTAATGCTTAAGGGGGCCGACTGGCCATTGGGCAAGCTGACACCCTGGCCAGTCCGCCACTGGTGATGCAGCAATAAAACTGCTCACACCTTTGCAAAGCTAAGCAGGGTCTGGTGTGATTTCAAATTGGATGGGGGACCACATGCTTAGGTTCCTGTATTGCAGGGGGTTGGACTAGATGACCCTCAGGGTCCCTTCCATCTCTATGATTCTATGACTCTGCCCTGTTATAACCGAGTCCCCCACCCGCCTTATGAAACTCTGCCTGGTCCTCAGGCACCGCTTTGGGTAGGCCGCCATTGGAGTCCAGCCTCCATTTTGGATTTAGGAGCTCAGCTTCTCACAAGCCCTAGACCAGAACCTGAACTAAATCTAAATCCCTGAGCTCAGCAGACAAACGGAGAGCACTGCAAACATGTTTCTCCTCCTGCTGAGATTCACTCAACGTTTACAGGAATATAATGATTTACTTCTCCACCTTTGGAAGCCACAGCAATTACAGTAATGTTTGTTCCCTGGAGGTGTCTTTCAATTTGCCATGCTAAAAACAAAGAAATGTATTGCAAGCTGTAACTCGGCTCAATTCCCTTGTTCTTATGCATCAGGGCAAAAGTCTCTTGACCCTTAAGATTGCACTATAGGGATACTTTGGGACTAGAGATTTCTGCTCCTGTTTTTCTGTTTCACCTTTCAATCCATAGCAAGTCGAAGTAATTTGTTTATTTTTTTGTGATGTGTTTGGACTCAGGGCTCAACTGATGGTTTGCTACTTGTGTTTTTGACTTGCTTTATATGTGTTGCACTTGAGAATAATCAGGGTAAACATTTTATGAGGCAACTACACATCCATCTGTCTGTCTATCTATCTATCTATCTATCTATCTATCTATCTATCATCATCATCTATCCTTGGGAGTAAGTCCCATTGAATTCAATAAGACAAATAATTCAGTAAGCTTCCAGCTAAATACCAAACCTTCACCAGTCACAATCCTAAATCACATCAAATACAACGGCATGTCAGGCCTTGCATTTTGGGGGAATCTAAGATGGTGACGGCCTACAAACCTTGGCTCATAATTTTAAGCAACCACGTTAACTACCAGGACAGGGTAACATGCCTTCCAAGTGTCCCTATTTTCCAGGGACCGTCCCAGATTTACAGAAGCCATCCTGGTTTCTGATTTAATCCCGGAACGTCCCGGATTGTCATCGTTTCCCCATTCCTCCACCTCCACGTCTCAGAGAACAAGGTGGAGAAATCTGACCTCCTGCTCTTATCCTTTGCATTGTCTCCCTCCCTTATGTAGGTGCAAAAACAGAGTCCTGGTTATTCTGAAAATAAAATACTGGCATAAAGACCAACACATTTGATCAGGTATCCCATGGGATACATGCTGAAAATTAAGCCCAGAGGTTTTGTGGATGTTGCTGCTACTTCAAATTCATTTTCAGCCTTCATGCTTTATGCAAAATGGCTGGTAAAGACTTCTCTAAAGACCAGAAATCTTAAGATTTTGTTGTCAGGTGCTCCTTTGTGTTCAGATCAGGCCTCAGCACAATCATGTAGCACTTGGGAAGGAAGATGCAGCCCAGAAGCCCAGCACTGGAGGCCAACATAGAGAAGATCTGCACAGCCACCATGTACTTGCCCTTGGTGCTCAGGTAGGTGGGCACAAGTAGGTGCTCAGGTAGGTGTGTCAGAGAGAGAGAGAGAAAGCGCTTTGCTGTTCAGTGCCCAACTAAGAGGAGAGTTGGGATTTTTGGGGTTTTTTTGCCAAATTGCTTTAATTGATTTTCCAAATTTCACCACATCAACCACAAATTAAGACAAATTTAATAGAAGTGAGCTTACTCACAAATTAAAAAATATATACAATAAATCAGTAATTATTATTTGCAAAATAAATTACTTTTCATCCTTCTGCATGTATGAAAGGTCAATATCCTTTATTTGAGCATCCCAAATTCCCCTCCTATCTCAGCTGCTGTAGAAAGAAGGAGTGGTGGTTCCAGCTGTTACTGGACAGTCAACCTGACATGGTCATTCTGCAGTGGTTGTTCAAGGAACAGCACAATCAGGATCTCCTAGCCCCCCACCCCCAATTATCCCCCCTACCTTATTGAATTTCTTGTTCCACTCAATGGCTTCTGGGTTAATGGTGAACTTTATGCCAGCAGATGCTCCTCTCCTTATATTTCCAATTTTCACAAGGTCACGAGACTTATTGGGAGACATCACCCAGTTCATAATATCGAAGTCTCCTGGTAGTTCCCAGTTCTCATCCAAGCACAGTCTGCCCCTGCAAGTATTCAGACACCAGATTTCTCTCAAGAAAGGGTGAAGCTGGAATGGCAGGGGAAAGCACCAGCATTAAGAAACTGGGAAGCTACAACAGGCAATTAATCAAGCCAAAATGGGGAAAACACCAGGGCCAGGTGGGCTATCAGCAAAGTACTATAAGAAATTGCAAGATTATTTGGCACAATCACTAAAAGATTTAAGATACTTACATTACGCTGATTCTGAAAAAAGATACAGATCTATTATCAGTCAAAAAATATAGGCTGATTTCTCTATTAAATAATGACTATAAACTGTTTGCAGACCTATTGGCAAACAACATGAAAGTGGTATTAATGGATTTAATTCATCAGGACCAGGCTGGTTTTTTACTAGGCCGCCAGATGAAGGATAATATAAGGAATATAATTGATATAATAGAAGATCTGGAGGTTAGAAATGATTTTAATTTTAAAGGTAAAGGTAAAGGGACCCCTGACCATTAGGTCCAGTCGTGGCCGACTCTGGGGTTGCGGCGCTCATCTCGCTTTACTGGCCGAGGGAGCAGGCGTACAGCTTCCGGGTCATGTGGCCAGCATGACGAAGCCACTTCTGGCGAACCAGAGCAGCGCACGGAAACGCCGTTTACCTTCCCGCTGGAGCGGTACCTATTTATCTACTTGCACTTTGACTTGCTTTCGAACTGCTAGGTTGGCAGGAGCTGGCACCGAACAATGGGAGCTCACCCCGTCGCGGGGATTTGAACCGTCAACCTTCTGATCGGCAAGACCTAAGTTCTGTGGTTTAACCCACAGCGCCACCTGCATCCCAATATAATAAAATAATATAATATACCGTATTTTTTCGCCCTATAGGATGCACTATTTCCCCTCCAAAAATGAAGGGGAAATGTGTGTGTGTCCTATGGGGCAAATGCAGGCTTTCGCTGAAGCCTGGAGAGCGAGAGGGGTTGGTGCGCACTAACCCCTCTCGCTCTCCAGGCTTCAGGAAGCTCTGCGTAACCCTAGGGAGACCGGCGCGACTTCGCGCCGAGCTCCCGAGGGTTGCGCAGAGCTGCCTGTGCTCCCGGGCTTCCTGCAGTTCTGCGCAACCCTCTGGAGCTGCGCCGAAGGTTGCGCAGAGCTGCCTGCATTCCGAAGCCTGGTGCGTGCTGAAGAGCACGCCCGGGCTTCGCGCAGCTCTCCGCAAGCTCGGGGAGACTGACGCGGCTCCCTAGGCTTGCGGATAGCAGGCTGTTCTGGGGGCTGGGGTCGGGGGAAGCTTGGGCTTCCCCCGCGCCTGCCCCGTGCCGGGGGGGGGGGATATTTTTTTTTCTTTATTCCCCCCCCAAAAAAATTAGGTGCATCCTATGGGGCGGTGTGTCCTATGGGGGCGAAAAAGGGGGGTCCACCAGGTGGCGCATTGGAAGATGGCTGACAATAACACCTCTCCGACCCATACGAGGTAATTAAGAGGCTGCTATGGGAAGTATGCAGTCTTCCTACCCCCCCCCCAAGGAGACGGGGGGGCTGCCTTGCCAGCGGTGTCCACAATGCACCCCCGGATTCGAGAGAAGGGGGTGCCGGTCACTTGGCACGAGCCCTCTATGAGGTCGGCTCTTCCTGACGCCGGTTCCAATCAGCGCATGCTGGTTTGCTTTAGCTCGGAATTATAATTGGAAACATGATTGGAATGAAGCTAAAGCACATACATCAAGCAAAGTTCGGGAGATAAGACTGCTGATTAATGGATCTCTGTGACCGGAGTGACGGATGGATAAGTAAATCAACTGATGAACCACCATTAAGAAACTGTATGTTTGGAATGAAGGAGGGGGTGGAGGAAAAAACTTTTCTTTTCTTTGCATTAGTGATATTAATAACCCTCCACCCCAGAAAGAAATAAGAGCGTTGCGTTTTACTAACCACAAGCAGGAATTCAAGAACTGTGTGGATTATAGTTAAAGAGATGATTGGTAAACAACGAGAACGGAGGAAAATTTTATGACGCAGCTAAAAATGGCGTCTCGCTAAGACAGGCTTGCCTGAGAAAGAAAGACGGGGGAGGAGAATCAGGACTATTGGAATGAGAAGGATGGTTGGAATGTGATCTGTAACCATGACAGAAGCCCTCCTGATATACTTGGCAAGCCCTGAGAAAAATTAAAGGACAAGACCGAAGATTAATTTGTTTATGGAAGCGTGGAATGGCGGCTGTCCCTGAACGATATGATCTTTGGATAGTACAAAACCCACACAGAGGATGCTTGTCTCTAATCTGCTTGTGAAGATTATCAGAGATCGCAAAGAAAGGAATATATGATAACAACAAGAAGATGAAGAAAGTAATAAAGAGACTATCTGGATTGAACTGGATAGAACTGTTTAATTAAAGCAGCAATATAAGTGATGTTAGACGTCGTTCGGAGCTTGATGTATGGGTACCCCCAACAAAATTTAAAATTTGGCTGTATAATTTGAAACTAATGTGATTTGGATAATGTGATTGATTGGGCCTGTTAATAAAAATTATTTTTAAAATAATGGTAATTAATATAATATAATATAATATAATATAATATAAATATAATATAATATACATTCCCCCAAATTAATATTTCATTACTAATTAATATTAGTAATAATAATGAAATAAGTCAAGCCAGAAGCTCCTCCCAGCACTGCCTAGTGGGCGTGACCACTCCCCACTAAACCCCGCCCCACCTCTCCCCGCTTCCACTGCTGCCTTTTTGTGGACCATTGCCTTCCCCAGCTCTACTCTCCCCGCCTCCTTTCACAAATGACTCGCCCAGATGGCATAGGCAGCCTGCCACTCCCGTGAGCGCCGGAGTTCCCTCTCCCCTCTCTTCCCGCTTGCTCGCCGCCCCTAACCCTATTCCTAACCCTGGCCAGTGCAATAAAATCATTGGATCCCAGTCAAGGCTTGGCTAAGGTAAATTGTTACTCTTTGGAACAGGGAGCAGAGCTTACACAATACAGAAATTAAAACCAACAGACTACGGAAGATGTCTTAAATGAATTT